AGAACGTATAAATCTCGATTTCCCCACATGCTCTGGAATGAAATCCTGGATTTCCTAGGGAATGCAAATCACTGTTTAATACATTTTTCTTTTTACCTTACTCTAGGACTATCATGGCTAAGGGCCCTACATTCGAAATTTGACCTTTATCCGAATAATTTTTCCCTCATCCACTTGGGGTACGTCTGTTTCCAATAATCCCCGGAAAATTCCGATCTTGCAATCATGGAAAGGGTACCTCAGGTGCATGAGTTTTAAATGGGATTTCTTGGGAGTTCATAGTTATCTAAATCCCCATCCAAATATTATGTTTGTAATGCACTTTCGGCCAGAAAATTGTCCTCTTAAGTGATACTTGATACGCACAAACGGAATATTTTTTTTTCCAGCAAAAACGGAGCACCCTACCATACTGCTCGTATTTGTCTTGAGTGGCTGAGAAAGCGACTCGCGCGGTGGCTAATTTCTTATTGAGATGATATTGAGTGGTCGGCACAATCCCCAGACCTCAGTCCACTTGACTTTCACCTGTAGGGATACGGCAAAAATGAACCCTTCAGTACGTGCCAGATATTTGCAGAATTCAATGGAACGAGTCAACGGGCAGTTCGTGGCATTCCACAGGAAGTACTGAAGGCAACCTTCTCTAGACGTCTTTGAGGTTATTCTGCAGCTAGAGGTGCTCATTTTGCACTTGTTTTCCACTAGAACAAAAACTTTGGAGTTTCTCTGCGATTTTGTTTTTGTCTGAAATGAATGTTCAATATAATAAAGAAGTTATGGCAAATCAAAATGGTAAACATTTTTGTAAAAGGTAATTTGGGGGAATATGGCCTACAAAATTAAACCTGGTCATAACGACCCATCAATTCGAATTTGACTTTTGCAATGTTTCTAAAATATTGATTGATATCTCTTTTATTAAATCCCAGCAAGCACATGCAAAAAACTGCATGGATATTGCACTTTTGGATCCTTTCCAAGTTGGTCTCAAGATGCCATATTACCCATATAGTTGGGGGAATATGGCCACATCTGAAAAAAAAAACAACTCCAGGTTTTCCAGGAATGCGTGAAATATGCTGGAACATGCCGAGTACCTTGAAACATAATGGAGGACGCTCAGGAGTTGAAAAAGAAACACTAACTGCATTGAGAAGAAGCAAAGAAGTCGACATCATTACATGACTGGAGGACCTGCAGCGGAAAGCAGGATTGCAACGCTTTTGGCTTTAAGTAGCATTGCACGTGATTGGGAGACTGTATCTACGAACTGTGGGTGTAAGAAGCGGGATCAAACATAGATCAAAGCGAACATGCGCTAAGAGTGTGAAATAAGAGGTCTTAAATTGCAGGAAAAACGTTGCGAAGTTTTTGCACGCATGCATAAATAGTGGCAAAAAATTACAGATTACCCTTTTAACTTATTGTACGAGGGATATTTACTTGCATTCCAATTTCGTGCCACAAAATGTCTGGTGTATGTCAAGTGGATGTCCAGGAGGCGGTGCATGTGCATATCCTGATGCACTGCCTCCTCATGAACTGCATATTTCGTCCAGATATCCAGTACGTCTATCCATATATTCAGAGGAAGTGCATGGGATGACCTTTTGCTGCCTGTGGTCCCACATGAAAGGAAGCTGACACTACCAATAGGTCAATGCGGTGCTACCATGAAATGAATGATGTGTCCATATTCCCCCATATTGGCTTGCATGACAAGATTTGACAACACTGTCTGTATACCGCAAGTGAAGGGGGTAGCACTTTCCACAAGCATTCAGGAGGGACCATAGAATAACTTTGAACAAATGGTTTTTGCATCCATGCTGCGATTAGGAAATACACGCTTAAGTGGCTCAAGGCTCATATTAGTTTCAGGGCCGTGAGTTGAAGAATCGCATACATATGACTTTCAAGGAATCTATGTATCCCGAATTCCTGTGAGAACTGGATAAATGAACAGGTCTAAACATTTCGACAATTGCATGCATTCTTCGATAGAACTATTTTCCAAATTCGCCCAAACTAATAATTCAATCTGTTAAGGGATTCATTGCGAAGGACCATATTCCCCCAAGTTACCCTACCACGACTAGACTTCATGCCTATAGAAGTCTCTGTGGAGCATTAGCTGGCAATGTTCAAAAAAGCTTTGCTTTTATTTCCTTTTCTCCCATTACAATAAATTTGAACTTCTCCTGTTTGATCAAGTGGGAGAGATCAAGCAGAAACAGTCTCGAATCCCTGTTTCTGAAGAAATTATAGTCGTTCACTTGGAGAGATTGGACGGTGACTATTCGTGTCTTTCCGTTGGAGTTTGAATCCGACTCCCCTAAGGAGATCAAGGAATCTGTCTGGAGCCATCCTCGTACATGCGAAAAATGCTTCTTGACCTGTCAAGCGCATTTCTTGAGTAAGAGCATGCATGCTCTCACACAAGACATTTCTTCAGCACGGAAAATACCACGCTATTCTCAGTACTGCTCCTTTTGAAATATTGGCCGCACACTCCATTTTCTCTTCTTTGTACATATTTGCTATTCCGACTGATGGACCAGCAAAAGCATGCTATGAATTTCTTCACAGTGAAAGGCGCCATGTTGAACGAACCCTGGTGCGATCGCTCAGTATAAATTGCCTTCCGTCCGGCGAAAGCAACAGCGGGAAGCTGAAATTTCCGTTCTCAAGTTTGACGAACTTCCACCATCTGCTTTCCACTCCGATTTCCGCCTAGTATAAATCCACTTTTAAATTTTGTTCTTGCACGGAGCTGGAACTCCTAGGAGCTTTTCTAATATTGTGGTATCAGATACGAAAAAGGACATTCCAAATAGACTTTGCCTCGCTCTCTTTTCTCTCCTTCTTTCTTTCCCTTCTCATAGAGGCAAGAGTAGGAAAACCCAGTTACCCAAAATTGCTTTAGGAAGAACTCGTTATAAAGTATTCACGGTATGGGCTGCCAGCACCTTGAAAATTAGGTTGTTCTGGCTAAGGCAAGGCGCGGAGAATATAATTGCTAGTTCTTCACTCAACAGAGAAGAAGCTATCAAGTTCTTCATTTTTTCAGTATCTGGCAGGGCAATTAATATGAAAAGACTTTCGCTTTGGGAATAAAAAATATGGTTCCCGTTTTACCAGCAGAACATACTTTGGGGGAGTTTCGGAGGCGTGTCAGAATCCTTACCGATTCGGGTCAGAAACTTAACATCTCGGTTTCCTTCATAAGATGTTAATGCAGAAAGTTTCCTATTATCAGGGGACATTTGGATAACCATGAACTCCCAAGAAATCGCACTTAAAACTCATGCCCGTGAGGTACCCTTTCCATGATTGCAAGATCGGAATTTTCCGGGGATTATTTGAAACAGAAGGACCACAAGTGGATAAGGGAAAAATTATTCGCATAAAGGTCGGATTTCGAATGTAGATCCCTTAGCCTTAGCGACTTTGTTTTTGTTTGAAGTGAAAGTCCATAATAAGAAAGAAGTTATGGCAATTCAAAAATGGCCAACATTTTTGTAAAACACCCAGTAGTTGTAAAAATGACTGGAATTATAATCTACGAAGAGACTCTGATCTGGACTCACCTGAAAAGCCAAACTCATTCCCGATCTTTTCCTATACATTTTCTCATCATCTTGCCCCTGTATTCTTTTGATCTCGTGTTGTACAAGAAGAAAAATATTACAAACCCTGATTGTGAAGTCCGGTGCCTACAACCTCTTCTTCCCAGAATCTCAATATTTTTGGCAATCCTAACAGTCGATTGGTGCTTAAATGCACTGCATAAAAAGTGTGATGATGAATGAGGCAGAAATTTAGGTTTAAAAAGAAAACATGAAGTCTCTCAAGTAACAGAAAATGACTTAAATTTCCTTTCTTAATTTGAGGCTATTGGACTCTGACCGACCCACGATACGAATCGTGGTCAAACCATACCTACGAACGAAGTCCTTGTCACGTGTTAGGCACCAACCAAGGAGAAAAAGCGACTTTCTCGGTCACTGTAAGTTTTCTACCAGTAAGATGATGTACAAAGTGCTCGTACCGTAAGTGAGCGGAGGCTATGACTAATTGAGTCTTCAAGGGGGCGAAAGGCTAACGATGGGCAATTTCCAATTTATTACCACCTTCCTGCACGACAGGCTACGCCGATGATAACGAAAACTTCGACCGTGCAACCGATCTCGCCAATTCCTCCATCGCCAGCCTACTCGTGATCGCGAGAAATACAAATGCAAGATAGTTTTTTCCCCGTATCAATTATCAATGTTCAAGAGGCCTGCACGACTGATCAACTTCAACATTGTAAAGAGCATGGAAATGCTCACTTCGTACCCAAATACATGATAATTGAGTCCGTTTAGGCTTCTTCGGAACCGACAGATTGTCAACCGATCGTCTTCTCTCGAACCGATTGGAAGCAATATTTTTGCAGTATTTACAACTCTAAATTAACCCTGTCATAGGTGTGATAACCCGTCGAGCTATTCTCAAATATTGCCGGACGCAAGCGAAATAATCAGTTTTAGGACATTGAGCATTTCCTGCCATCTTCCTGCTATTTGTGAATATCGTCAGTCTCAGGCCTCTCGATATGATCGTCAGCCATGAATTCTGCAGACTACTTCTTAGAGTTTTCTGAAAATGGTCTGCCAGGATGAGAAAATTTTTTAAATCAGCCTGCGCCAGGGAATGGGTCATGACACGATTCATTTCTGGAACTGGCCCTCAAAAATCTTGTCGACAAAGAAAGGAAGTAGGCAGACTGGTTCGGACCTCCCATCCGACCACGCTTACGAGGTATCGAGGTGACATGCCGTATCGGGGATCGTCATCCTGCAACTACGACTCTAAGCTTATTAAGAGCAGGATATTGCTCTTATGCTGAAGATACAGAAGGCGAATGAGAGCCTTCAATTGAGAAGTAGCTTTTGGAAGGAAGCGACGACAGGAGATACGAACGAGGAATTACAACACAAATCACTCGTAGCTTCGTTATCATATAGTGATATATTTCTCCCGACCCAAGTATATAGATAGATTTGCACGATAAACAAGAAACCGTCGACCAACCGAAAACCAACAGAAAGAGACCGACCGAAAGCTAAGACGAGATGTACGAGAGTGACCTTGGTAAAATGATGACGGAGACGAAGAGGATGAATCCGCGCTTTCGATTCCTTGCAACCTTCTTCCGAGTATAGCAGAATACCGTGTATTACCTACTTCAGTTCATCTGCATACTCCAAAGAAGATTCTGAGGAATGGAAATATGGAATCCATCTTCGGCGTCTCTCTCTTTTCATTCCTTCCTCAAAACCGCACTCGTGTCTCTAGTCTTGCGCTTGGCATAGAGAATATATTATTTGGAATGAAATTATGGGAGTTGCGTAGAGTGAGGTGAAGTCTTGGAAACAGAAGGAGGGGGGTTCGAAGATGAAGGATCCACGGGAGTGGTAGGAGATCCCTCTCTTTCCCCTTTCCCGCTTTCTTCCTCTTCTTCCAAAGCCAGATTATTCAGGGTTCTTAGCATCTCGGCCCTGGAGGACGTGCTCATGCGCCGAAACGCATGGATGATGGAGTCTACCGACACTTCTGGATTCTCCTGCGACGAACACCAAACGAGATGAGGAAGAATCGACACCAACAGCAATAGAATCATATCTCTCCGCGTCACTCACCAGGAGAAGGTTCCGAATTCGGTCCAAGACAGATTCTCGTCTGATGCATCTGACGTTATCCATGACGGCACACGAGGTCGGGCTCTTCAGCTGCTCTTCCAACCACATGCCTACCTTCTCGTTGTCTTCCCATAGGTAACTCTATCGAATAAAAGCATGCATTTTCGAGAGAACTCTTCCTTGGGAGATCGAAACGAGTGAGATCCACTCGACGACATTGCGATCGAACGTGGAGACCTGGACGGATCCGTGATCCTCGATGAACCATCTCCGGAGCATGGCCTGAGCTTGTCCACGAGAGAGGGTAGTTTGGACGTCGAGGATGATGGAGACGATGTTACCCTCGGCGAGGAGCCTCCTCAGTCGCCAATAGAGAATTCTCCGCGCCGATACCCAAGGTACGATATCCTGGGATCGTTGAGAGAATATCCACGTCGCATGCGGCACGAGATCGAGAAACCAGCATGAAACTAGGCCCCACCTGAACGACTCCCTTCTCGTGCATGCGCTCGGCTGTGTCGTGCAGATCGGCAAAGTGGACGGCCACTTGATGGTAAATGGGAGAAAGAAAATGCTCCCTCTCGTGATGAGCCTTCCCCAATTCCTTTTTCTCTTCTGCATTCAAGTTCGGATCTCCGAGTCTTTTGAGGCACGACGACACCACGGGGTCCAAGCGATGCATTGCTTTCACTTGGTCCTTCATCTTGAACTTGATCTCTACCGTTCCCTCTGCCTCCAATACTCCTCCTCTGCGATGAGAAGAACCCACCCCATCAATCCTCGATGGAAACATGCATCAGAGTTGGGTTCCAATCATCGTTTCTTCCTCAATTCAACAGGAAGAAGCGAAAAGATAAAGCAAAGTTCAAGGCAAACCTGCAGTTCGGGTCGACATACATCTCCATATAGTCAGCATTGATGGTCGGGTCGATGACGACCCAAGCTCCCCCACGTAATTCCCCATACGGTGGAATGTACACGATGATGGGTTGCCGATACTCCCGGAATCCATCCACGATGTACGCTCCAAACTTCACCACTTGATCGAACATATCTTGAAGCAAAATTTAAAAAAGGAGGAAAAGTAAATCGGTAACCCAGATCAATGAATACTATTTAAAAAAAAAAGAATAAGGACATCTCGAGACTAACCCTTCATACCCCCAGAGAACCCCCTCCAGTTGGCAAATACGAAGAGGGGTAGATTCTCTCTATTGAAGTCCTTGATGACTTGAGAGGTCTTATATGCGGAATCGGGAAACCAGACTTGACCTGCTTGAGACACGATCTTGGCTTCGGAATCAATGTTGGCCGGGTCCGCCGGAAGTTGAACCTCGACGGTGCGGGTCTCGACGGCGATGACACCGACAGGGATTCCGCCGAGTCGGGCCCTTCCCGTTACGACCGTCCCGGCCCATCTGCCGAGGATCTCGTCCCAGGAATCTTTATCGAAGAAACCACTCTCCCAGACGTTGGGATCCACGGGGGAAGGACGCCCAGCCAGCATGTGCCTCGGGTCGTATGGGGATTTCGTGGGAGTGAACATGATATCTCGATCCACGGGGTCCATGCTCGGCATCGTCGGTAGGCTCCCTCCTTTAACCTGCACCATTCGCAACGATGGGGTTCTCATTGCAGCAAATCGTACTCTCTTTCCTCTCGAGATGATTTATGACATATACTCAATGTCCACAAAATTAGAGATACCTTACTAGTAGCGTGTTGGACCGCCTTTGGCCCTCTAAACAGCATCAATTCGTCGTGGCATGGATTCCACGAGGTGCTGGAAACGTTCTGCAGGTATCCCAGCCCATGCTGCTAGCACAGCATCACTCAGTTGCCTCTTGTTTGATGGCAGTACAGGCAAGCCCCGCACAGCCCGTTCCACCTCATCCCAAAGATGTTCTATTGGATTGAGATCAGGGGACTGTGCGGACCACTGGAGCAAGGTAAACTCCTGGGCATGTTCCTCGAGCCAATCCATGACGATACGGCCCTTGTTGCACGGTGCATTGTCCTGATTTGGCCGTGATTTGGCGTACTGTAGCCCGCCTGTCGGCCAAAACGATACGTGACACAGCCTTCTCTGACCTCGAGCATCAACGAAGCTCTGCCGTCCACAGGATGCCCTTGCAGCCGTTGGTTTTCGCTTATCACACCATTCACGGTATACCCTGAAACTGTTGCACGTGAAAAGCCTAGCAGTTTGACGGTTTCCGCGATACTCAAACCAGCTAGTCTGGCACCAACGACCGTTCCACGTTCAAAGTCGCTGAGGTCTGTTGATTTGCCCATTCTGCAGTCAAAATACACACACTGAAGCAGGGCTGCCTGCTTTAGGTCACAACCTAACCTACCTAACCTAGGTTAGGTTATGCTGTAGCTGCATGGAAAGTTGAATGTAGGGGTATCTCTAATTTTGTGGACATTGAGTGTACATCGAGGACAAGGGAACATGCAACCACTCGTCGAGGGATAGAAACAGTCTGAAACGCACGGCTCACCTTTGGGATGTAAGAGAGCCACTTCAGGATGGTGTGGATTCCATCAAGGTCATCTTTGGCCGTGGCATGGGATACTCCATTGTGGAACATGATCTGGACACCTCCCAACTGATTGTTCGACGTGTACACTTCTCGACCGAGGAGCTGAAATGCAGACACCACGGTGACACGCGGGCAAGAAAAAGTAGGACGGGAGCTGACAGCATGAGACGTAAGGAGGGGGAGAAGGGAATTCTGAGTGAATGGCGAAAAAAATATATACGAGGGTCACTCAATAAGTTATCTAACTGAATAAGAAAGAAACATCCGAGGGGAAAACTAACACTTTATTTTTCAATGTAATCACCTTTTAACTCAACACACTTATTCCACTTTGATTCCAAGGATTTTATTCCCTGGGAATAGAAGTCAACTTCTTGTCCATCAAACCAATCAGAAACGGCAACTTTCAGCTCTTCATTGCATGAAAATCTTTTTTCCCCACAAACATTTTTTCAAGTGTCTGAACAGAAAATAGTCACTAGGAGCCAGATCCGGGCTGTAGGGAGGATGGTTGAGCTCCTGAAAGCCACACTCCCTCACTGCTGCCTGAACTTTCCATGATTTGTAGACAGGCGCGTTGTCATGGAGAAGTAGGACCCCCCTTGACAACTTTCCTCTGCGTTTTTCCTTGATGGCATCATGTAAATTTTTCATGGTGGTAGCAAAGGAATCGCCAGTGATTGTACACTTGTCTGGCATGAACTCAAACAGCAGTAGTCCCTCGCTGTCCCAAAACACAGGGGCCATAATCTTTCCTGCAGATTTCTGAACACGAAATTTGCGAGGCGTTGGCGATCCCTTGTGCTTCCACTGCATGGACTCCTGCTTGGTTTCGGGATCCCAGTGATGAACCCAAGTTTCATCACCAGTTACTATTCTGGGAAAAAAAAGTTTCCTCGATTTGTTTAGAAAACTCCAATTTTTCCTTGCAGATGTCAGATCTGTTCTTCTGAGCTGGAGTCAGCATTCTTGGGACCCATCGAGAACTGACTTTGGACATGTGTAATTTTTCATGAATAATGTGAATCACTGTGCCCTCTGAAATCCCCAGTTCATGAGCTAAAACAGAGACTTTGGTGCGACGATCCTCCGGTATCGCACTCTCCAATTTGTCACACATTTCCTGATCAGAAGCCTCCACAGGGNCTGACTTGTGGAAGGGAATGAAGAGTCACCATTGGCGAGCGTAATTTATGGAGCCTCATCCCATACTTATCGAAAATTGGAGTCTATTCCAAAGTTCCACATTTCTCATGACTGTAACATCAGAATTGTACTTTTCGTGCATGCCTGAATGAATTTCTGGTTACGGATAAATTAATGGTTACGTAATGCAAGGGTTCTTACCCCAGGAGAAGCTGTGTTACATCAGGATCTTTGCATCTCATAGCAGACTCTCATGGGACCGCGCCGAGCGATTAAGGAAAATGCTAAATAAAAATTCACCAATTATAGCCGTGGGATACTTTTCTTTCTCCGATGGGATTTCACCTAAATGTATGCATTCCTCCTTACACATTCAGTATGGTAGGTAATCCATGCCTAATCCATTTCCTTGCTGAGCTCTAAAAAGTATACACGAGAGGAATGGGCTGCGCCCTGGATTGATCGTTGTTTTCGTCGCTAATAAATCGGAGAGAAATAATATTATGAAAATGGAAAATAAGGGAGAAAAATAGCAAGTAACGAAAGCAAAAAGACAATAAAATTAACTGGAAAATAAAGGCTTCAAATAGGCATATCTGAAAACTCTTACATGTCAAAGATCAAATGAAGAGGGATGGGGGGGCTAGGAAGAGGGTGTTAAATATAGGTACAACTCCACGGCTGCTCCTATTTTATAAAAGCTTTCGCAGGAAGCGATAATCGTCGACCAATACCCTATTGAACTGGAATGAGTGCAAGACCTCAGGACTAAGGAACAGCAGGAATTACTATACTTTCTCTCCGGCGAAATTTTTTTTTCCATTAGGGAGTGAAACCGGAAATATCACGATCTCGTAATATTCTTTGCGTATTGGTCAGGAGGAAAACAGGAGAGTTACCATCCCTACTCATACAAGATGTTGGATGCCTCGCGGGTAGAAATTCTGACGTATTATTGAAATATCTTTAAATGCCGAGTCCTTTCAAGCGAACGTGGAAAAAGATGGATTGTGAAGCAAGGGGCAAGAAAAATTTTTTTTGAGAAGTAGTGAGACAGTGGTGTCCTGGCGCCTCGCATCTCCCATGCACGGGAAGAGAAGTCTAGACAGGGAAAAAAAAGTGAGAGAGGGAATGAAGGATCACGCTTCGTACAGTATGCTGGCCATTTGAGGCACAACTGGGAAAAATCCTATAATTCCTACCTAATCCTACCGGTTCACCTGGAAAGGCGATGTAGGTGTTATCTGGTTATTTCATCACTCCATTGACTCTGAGGAAAGCAGCTCGTGATCGTAGACGATGAAAGCGGCATGCAGGAGAAACGCGGTCGATTGCTGCAACATGGCCTCAGTCAAATCGTTCTTGGTCAAAGGAGACTCAACACATTCGCGCATGATTCCACAGCCAATTTTCATAGTCGTTTCGAAATATATTGTCCTCGTTTTGAGGGTACTCGTTCCAAAGGGTTGAACTAATTCCTTATCCCGATTAGGTCCTTTTTCCAAGTCTCGGAGATGCAAAATATTGTGACGGATGAGGATGGCATTTCCCGGCCGTTCCTTGGCTTTCTTTCGGCCTCTCACGCCTTCCGTCGTCCGTCCATCCTTCCTCCCTCCGTAAAAGTATCAGAAAGTGAGAAAGTGCCTTCGTTCCTTGGGAGAGAATGAGGGGAGGAAATATTTAAAAGCCCCCTGTCTATTAATTTATATGTATGTTGATCCTTTGAGCTCTCCCTTCGTTGCGTAGGATAATTTGGATTCCTTATATAATTTTATGACCTGATTCATTCATTCGTGTGAATTTTTGTTTCCAGTCTCCATTTTAATGCCCCCAAATTTAACAACCGTGCCGAAAAAACATTTATCCGCACCCAAGTTTTCATAAGGAATGCCTTCAGGAGAGAGTAGACAGGTTAGGGGCGAGCGGCGACATGCCGAGAGGACTCTCAGGAGGGGGAAGGGAAAGCGGAGCATTTGATAATAAAAAAAAGGCGTCAGAGGTAAAAGGAAAAAAAATCAAAAGCGAAAGGCGCCAGTTGAAGTCGCGTCGGTCCCCTTCCCCTTTTCACTCACACAAACACACACAATCACAAGCACGCACAAGTCTGTGCGAAGCGGGAGGGAAGTCAAAGAGGGAAGAGCTGCCCGCGAGCATTCAAGTTTTCATGCAAATCGGTAATTAAAGCCTCGCATTCTCTATCCCTTTGGAGATAGTAAGCAATCTTGGTGTCATTGGATCCACATGCAAATCGGTAATTAAAGCCTCGCATTCTCTATCCCTTTGGAGACAGTAAGCAATCTTGGTGTGATTGGATCCGTGAAACATCCCTCTGTGAGATAGGCACAAAAAATCCTGCATTCTTGGCCGGTGAGAAGAGAAAATCGACCCGGAATAGAAGAAATTACCTAAATCGTCAAAAGAGGCCGCAGGAAAAATCGATAGGCTTCTACAGTAGGATAGTGAACGGATTCTCATGAAAATTTATATTAAGCTAGCTAAGAGATTTTTAAAGAGATTTACAAGAGGAATTTTTGAAATTCAGCCTCGTTTTCGAGTATCGTCCGTCAACGTCACGTCCCTTCCAAAAAAGTGGATTTTTCAGGCGGACCATCGAACACTGAGGGGGAATGGTAGGAGGAAACCATGCGCAACTCCGCAAAAAGATGGACCATATTAGCCTCCAAAAACTGGAGCATGCTTTTGACGACAGAAAATTTCTACGAGGAATGAGAACGAAAAAACAGAATCCGAAAACAAAAATTCTCAGTTATGGCGTCAGGGCGTCTCGGGAACGACAGTTGCATGCGTGTATTTATTTTTTCCCATTTAGCGCTGTATGTCTCAAGGAGAATGGTGCAAATTTCACGTTTCTGCAACCAAGGGTTGGGGAGATGGAGATTTTCAAAGAGAAGCATGCACATTTTGACCTTTGACCACAGATCATGGCCCCGGGGTGACCTGAGAGAGTCAGCAATCGGCTCCAAGGCCCTTTCTTGAGGTTCCTTACAACAATTATAGAGCGGAATTTTGATCCAGGGGGGTCGATTTTTATGCTCCCGTAGTACCTTAAAGCTGGCATTAGGCTAAAGTAAGTTTCATGCAATCCACCCGTGATATTTTTCTTTCATGTTCCTTCTGTTGTTGGGATGAGATGATAATATAATAATAACATAATAATACACCTCTTGGTCAGAGGAGCCGCATTATGGCCTATTGTATAACAGCCAGAGATTCTGATAGTTGTCTTAGGTCATTATAGAGAGTGAGTCGAAAGTTGTGCCCACCTTTTGATCTCTGATAACTAATGACTGAGCAAGCAGATTACAATCAGGTTTAATTCATTCGAAAGCCAAGAAAGCTTAAGTCTCTATGATTTGCTCTTAACCCTACCAGGTCCACGCTATTCAGCACCTTCCGGAGCGTGTGCGGGATATTCGAAGTACCCCAGATTATTTCACAGAGACTAGGGAAGCGAAAGGTTCCACATATGTACATATCTCCTACCTTGATTATGAATAATTTTAAACTTTGCTATATATTTGAGGAACTATGGAGATTGAGATGGTACTGTACAAGAGAAAAAAGCTTCACAGAGATATAACAGAAAATGTTGATTGGGGTACCAAAACTATCTCAAAACGGGCCTGGGAAGGTTAATTTCATTTCAGACAAGAGAGGCACTTTGAAGTTACTGAAAAAAAATTAATCTACTGGTTGCCGCCAGTTAAATTCAATACTGAGGTACACGTTGCGTAATGAACGCAATCATGTCCCTCGAAAGTTTAATTCAACTTATGATTTATCACAGTTTTCAAGTCTTCAATATCAAGGATTCAATTCAAGTCTTCAAGGCTTCTCAGTCTAACAATATTCTTAAGATATCCCAACGCTGAAAAAAAAGGCGGAATGAGGTCAGAGCTGCGTAGAGGCCATTTGTCTTGATAGGCCTCGAAGCCCGATCCATCGACCTAAAAATATTATAATCATTACCTGAATGGAAGAAAGTTGAGCCTATCGGTAGTCTGCCGTTACTTCTTTATTTCCTTCAAATTTCTTCAATCGGAATCAACTGGACAGTGTTCAAGCACTTTTTCAGAAGGCGAACGCGCTTGAAATTCCCCGAAAAAAAATGAAATTAACTTCTGTCTCAGCAAAAAGGATATGATTGAAAAAATATTAACTCTCATCTCTTGATGGAGATCCTGGGTGGATTGCATAAAACTGACTTTAGCCTAATGCCAGCTTTAAACCTTCATTAGGGGTGAAGTTAAAGCTATTGTAGCGGAGATTTTTAATGTGGATTGCATGTAAAAAAATTAGTCTAACGCAGCATTAAATTCCGTATTAGCTTAATGCTACTTTAAACTTACTTTACCTTACTTTAAACCTCCATTAGCACCCAAGAGGAACATCCCGCTGGCTCGACACACTTCCTTACTGCTTCATTATCTCCACAGACGATGCTTTTACATTTAATTTTACTTTTGTCCTGAACGTTTCCGTAGCTATAAAGAAAGCCGAGTGAATAAGCAGCAAATTCAGTAGATGGTCGCACGAACTCAGCTGAAGCACTTGACGACCAGGAGCGTGTGTTCCATGATGGACTTGGAGCAGTATTCTCCTGAAGAGGTATTGCGGAGCTACCGGTTCACATCTCAGGGCATTCTAACTGGTGGAACATTTTTGAACCCGATCTACAGGATTTTTGGAAAGTCATTCCTTTTTTGTAAATTGTACGAGGCAATAACGTTCGCAATTTTTGGACTAGAACAAAGGTTTTTGTGCGGAAAGAAAGAGAATTCGGTAGAATTTTATTATTTGATTGATTTATTGCTTGCAGTAACCCTCCATGGTGCCAATATTGAGGGTGACATTTACTGGATCTGGTTAAGCTAAACTAATCTGATCTCAAAATGTTCCCTTCATCAGTTTAAAATCAGTTTAACAGAGATAAACTTCTTCCCATGGACGCCCATTATGAAAACGAAAGAATCTGGTGCATGTCATCCTGAATCTTCGACACCGTACACAAGTAGTGCGCGGTAGGAGGGGTGGAGGCGGAGAAAATGGGAAGTTGCATCCAAGGCATTCTCCTTTCATCACCACCTCGAGACCATGACGGAGGATCGTACTTACTAATTAAAACCTTCTAGGATGAATCGGTAATCGTTTCTTGACCTCGTGCTTCACGTATCTTTGGATGAGAGCAGCCGACCGATGTTCTTACCTTATTGAGTGCTCCACATCCAGTGAGGATGATGTGAGAGGAATCCACCTGAACGACTCTTTGACCTAGGCGAACCAGATACGCTCCGATCCCAATGGCTCGACACGTCACCATCGAAATGGTCACTACTTCGTTGTATGCTTGCGAAGATTCTCCTGCGATCGTCCCTGACCATTTGAGATTCTCAACTCCGAGTCCCTCCTCCTTCCCTGCAATGCCCCGGCGATAGAGTATAACAATGCTTTGACAATCTCGCCGTCTATGCTTTTCTTCACCAGCAAAAGTCGAAAGTTCCCACGGAAAAGTATTTGCACATTGCTCACCGATGATGTCGGTGATCTTGTAACGAGCTTCTCCATCTTCTTCGACGAGCTCTGCTTTCACAGAATTCATTGAAGCCACCTTCTTGAAGTCATCTGGCGTGAGATATAAATACTTGAAACCCTGAAAAATAATAGGAAGACATGGAGACTGGGTTAAAATTCAGATCCAAGCATACGGATTCCAGCTGCCTGGTTCCGTTTGGTCTATTCCAGTAATGTTATGTTATGGGCTTTGGAATATCTTACACCTTTTTCATTTATTTAAAAACCAACAGTTGATATGTAAAACTGGTGAGACCCATATCACTAGTGCTTGTAGAAAAGATACAAGAATATTACATCAGCTATCGGAAATGGGCCAACATAAGGAAAACTCGACATTTCAGGCTGATACGATACATGAGCTGTCAATATCCAATGCACATGACTTCGGTTCAGAGCCACGGAGAGCGGAATCACGCAAGATAACACCAGTGTTTACAAACATGACGAACAAGAGTTGTTCCTTATCTTTACCCTCTCTTCTTTGATTACCTAACGGTTCTATGAACAGGGAACCCTATCAAAAATCCAATGACGTGCTGAGATAAAACAGCGTGATGGATAACCTACCAGAAATGTATCATGTTGGAGTAAAGGCCATCGCACATTTACCGTGTGGTGCATGCGGCTTGCGTGTCTGCATGCATCCACATGGGTTCGAACGCAAGGGAACATGCGTGAACATGACATGCTCTCACGCATTTGGGTCATTCCACAGATATAGGGACAAAATTAAAAAGATAAATCCCAAGTTTAATGTCAGTTAGGGAGGCCAATCCAATACATCACAGAAAAATATATATTCTAATTAATAAAAGAATACCCTGTTCAAAACATAGTGATTGCGATTCCTTTATACTTGTAAAGGCGTGTGGGCATCAATGTACACGCGTGTTCCCATCAGTGGTGGATAAATGGGGGGGGACCGCCCCCCCTATGGCCTATGGCATTTGATTTATTTGTTCAAAATAGCATCTGCATTAAATTTTATTGGAGCCAGTGAAATAGATACTCAAGTTCTTACCCCACATGAAAAATAAAAAAGGCGAACGGACGTGGAATGGTGGTAGACGGGGGGAGGGTTGGTAGGAACATGGGAACCGCCCCCCCATTAAAAATTTCTGTATCCGCCCCTGGTTCACTTGCATTCGAATGCATGTGGATGCATGCAGACGCATGCCGCATGCGTGTCGTAATCGTATGCATCACACATTAAGTGTGCGATGACCTCAAGGATATTCCTTCTAAATCACTTTCAGATATTACGAAGATTCAAAGAAAATAGCAATTGTCTATTGTAGCTAATAAATAAATAAAAAACAGTCGTCTTACATTTCTCATTACCTAGAAGAGCGGAAAGGCATGGTTTAGGCCATTGGCGTCCATTAGGATTTCGATATGTCCACCAAACTTGTGCGATCAGGTCACCATATTCGACATATGATACCAAATATATGCAATACTAAAATTTTGAATACTATTTCGAAATTAGAAGAAAAAATATAACTGATGATGAGCATCAATTCGCCACAATTCTGTGGCCAATTCGTCACATGTGGCAAGTGGCGAACGTATTGGACACCATGGGTTTACGCAATGAGCAAGTGCACTATTTCTATACGCATTATGGGAGACTCATTACTCAAAAGATAGGAGCCAGTAAACTTGAGGCCTTTTTTTAAATAGAGGCTTTATTAGAGTTTTCCTGTTGGTACTAGGGCAGTCATGACACAATGATATCACCAATGACAGATTTTCAGAGATAGCAAAGGGCCGGCAGACAGTGAAGTGCCAAAATCAAAATCTGCAGGTGTGCGACTATGGGATCCACGAGAACCCGGAAAAAAGAAAAAGGAAAGTACAAAACGGAGGAAGGACGAAGGAAAAGTCTAAGGGTGGATTTTTGAACAGAGAACTATCCGATAATGCAGCTTTATTCCAACTAAAATGCATGCTATTTTCCTTGGAATTAAGCTGCATTATCGGATAGTTCTCTGTTCAAAAATCCACCCTAAATTTGAGTCCTCCCAGGGGCCACTTTCTTTTTTTTTCCTTTCAATCCGGGGCGACGACTTCCAGATATATCCAGAGAGTAGCGTGCCCAGGATTTCATATCAGTGTTTCATATTAGAAAATCCGAATTCCATTCGGATTTCCTGATATGAAACACTGATTACTCACCCTAATGGGAGGGGGTTAACAAATGAAAAAACTGATAACCCATCCTGTATTTGTGACCAAATAAAAAAATTCGTGAGAATCGAACTTGTAAAATTGACCCCAAAAAAGGGGGGGTTATGACTCCTAACCCCCCCCCCCCCCCCTCCCTTGGGCACGCTATTGTATCCAGAAACCGAGGAAGAGTTGCTTGGGGTAAGTGGGATCCCTAGGGCTCCCTTTTTTTTCGGCTGACATCATAAATAGGCGAAAGTTGCCTCTTTTTGCATAGCAATCATGTAGTACGCTGTCTCGCACAACATATCCCACCCAAAATTACCAGGCATTTCTGAAATGTCACGGATGAATACCCCATCATGGGAAACAGTACTGATAAAAGAATGCATGGTTCTTATTTAGACTAAGACTTAGGGGCACTTCAAATAGAGTTTTTGTGAGAAGTCAACGTTCAGCTGAAAGCTCACTGACAATATTACTTTACCAATTGAGTTATTTGCTCCTATTGTGACATCGATTAATGCATCGTGACTGCTCCATTTTCCCCCTATTGCTGTAAAGAATCATTTACTAGTTGTGTTTTTTGCTTTGCTTTTTTGCTTTTTTTTTCCATGGATTCTGGTCGTCAGACGCCTCGCAAAAATTACAGCAAAGACTATGTACTAGGTCAATGATAAAAAGTCTCTTTTAGATTTAAATACAAACAAAAAAGATTTTTGAAACTTGGATGTGTTGGCTTTGGGATGGCGAATATCATTTCTGGTAACGGGACCACTCCGTTGTCCAATGGCTTTTTGTATGTCTGGTCTCAAAGGATGATCTTCACTCCTTGAAATGCGCATGGCCAGGGCAGTACCTAGAGAATTTACTTTCTCGACAAAATTGGTAACATAGACCTTGCTGTTCATGTTGGATACAGCGGCAAGCCTGCTGCGCAGGCTTGCCGCTTTCAAAAGTAAGCGTTTGCTTTCCTCGGTCAAATATCCAGCATAGATTGGTAGGGCATATAATAAACAAGACAAGATGCAGTATTCCACGAAGTCCACTACTGCTTGATTGGAGTTACGAACATTCCTGAGAAGACGAACCGCGAACACTGATCTCGAGAAGCATTTCTTGTAGACGTCTTCGACTTGGTTCTTAAAAGTCAGGCCAGTGTCTATGGTCATGCCCAGGTATTTCGTACTGTTCAACTGAGCTACCAGTGAGCCTCCGATTTTTATTTGTTTCCGCCATTCCTCAGGGACCTTTTTCTTTGATTTGAAGACCATTTCCACAGATTTTGTTGGGTTCAAAAACAAACCGGAGTTTTCCGACTAGGTTTGAACTTGATCAATTTCTCGTCGATATGCCGTTAGATCTTCTTTGTTGTTGATGGTGGATACGATGACTGTATCGTCTGCATATTTTAAGATGATGCAGTTTTTTTTTGTTGCCTTGAGTGGATCAGTTACAAAAGAATAAAATTGAGGAGACAGAACCCCCCCCTGAACTATTCCTCTGTCCGTACTTTGAGCATCGGAATTCTTCTTACCCAATTTAACATACTGAGTGTTGTCTGAGAGGTAGTTCACCACTAGTTCGAGCAAGCTTCTTGGAACCTTCATTATGATAAGTCTACGAATGATGTCTCCCCGGTTGATGCAGTTGAATGCTGAAGTGT